ATAGTGCCAAACTCCATTTGGCTCCGTTTTGTGTGTTAATCCTGGCATTGGGATGTTGGATACTCTAGGATTATTCCAAGTTGCTCTGTGCCCCTATCCCTTCACTCCTTGGGCTGTATGCTCGGGAGTTACTCTGTGGACCGGTTCCATCACTCCTTAGCTCCATGTTTGGGGGTTTGGCACCGTTCCTTTGTTTAGTGGCCCAAGGCCCTGAACCTCGGGTTCCACACCATTGTCCTATAGACATGTGGCATGTGACACGTGGCATATAACATGTGGCACATAGAGGGTTTAGGTTCTGCTTCTTGGTGTTGGTATGAATGAGTGTTTGTTGATTTTGCAACATTCCTTTTGTTCTGTTGATTATTGCTTGAGGTAGTTCTGATAGATTAGGATGTTATTTCCTTCGGGTGATACATTCACGAACATTGTGCTTGCCAGTTAATGATACTTTGTGTTCTTTTAGTTTTTTGTAAGTTGTTTTGCATGCTATCTAAATTCTTTGATAGTTATATGTTATCATTGAGTTTTCTTGATGATACACTTGTTATTGAATTTTGTTGGATAGTGCATCCTATGTTTTCCAAACAATAATGATCTTGGTGGTTATTATACTATAATACTAGTTTATCAGATAATCACTTACTTAGCATACTTTTGTGTTCTAATATAAGATTTAATCACTGATACTTAAGTCTCTAAAATATCATTGTTTATGACTTTGATTTTGTCCATCTATTGATTTTTGAGTTTGGGCAAGCCCGGGTAGGTTTCGAGCTCATAAGCTGAGCTCACAGCTTCTCAAACACAAGAAAAACATTGGTTTGTCCCGAACCAACATCTTTTCATTTTTCAAATTTTGATTTAATCTATATTTCCAAGTAAATTCAACCAATAAAATACAAATATAAATATAGATCCAAACACTAAAAGCAATCTAAAAACACTTCTCAAGCTCTGCAACTGTAAGGCTTGCCTAGTGGATGTGATGGTTGATCTTAGGATCTTAGTTTAGTTCCTATATAAAAATGTAATAGATATGCTTGCAGGCTAAATATACCTTTCCCCTGTTCTCCCTCTATGTAAAATCTGGATAGGTACAAGATGGATTTTCACAGATTTTGATAGTGTAGCTCGTACCCATTGATGACTCAGTCACAACAACAAAGTCCTTAGCCACAGCACTGATGTAGTTTGTCTTTGTGATTGTGCACTTCAACTCTTTTGTCAGCTGATCTTCTCTTATGCACCTTTTGAAATGGAAGACCTATATTGTACAACCTTCCCATTCCTAGTTAGTCGTGTATGCTGATCTAATGTTGATATTGGTGGCATAATAGTATTAATAACAATATTTAAAGAAGTCTTTAGCTTGAAATTTGCTCTCTCTAGACTTTCAATCTCTTCTTTCAAAAGATTGCAACTTTGCTTAACTGACTACTCCTTTGGCACAAAATTTGGCTTCAAATTATTTAAGTTGTGGATCCGGCTTGTATGAGTAACATTAGTCCTACAACATTAAATCTAGCTTGATTGGCAGCCTTTCACCCCTAGATCTCGACAACCCCAGAAACATGGCACTACTAAAGAACTTGAACCTGAGCACACAAATGCAAGACATTGACCTCAACTCCCAATCATTCTGGAGCAACGTGCATTGCTCTTGGCACTAACTCTTTGAATTGCCCATGGTGGCAATGACAGTGGCAATGGTGGCAATGGCAGTAACGATGGCAATGGTGGAGGTGGTGATGGGGGTGGTGGAGGTGGTGATGGCGATGGTGGAGGTGGCAATGGTGGAGGCAATGGTGGTGGAGGCGATAGATCTCTAAGCAATTGTGTTTCTATTGATGTGCCAATGGACATGTCGATTGTAATATCTTCATCAATGCCAAATTCAACTTCTTATATTTTCTTAGCTCTAATAACCTTTTTAGGTGGTATTATTTCCTTTTTTGCAAGAGAAGAAATTTTGTTAGCCAAACTAAACAAAGATAATCAAAAATTCAAATAATCAAAAAGAAAAAGAAAAAGAAAAAATATCAAGTAAGCCAAAACTCCACCTTATACACATTGGTTGCCAGGGGGGCCAAAGTTATATGAATAACCTCAACCCCTCAAACCCCTAAAGTGCTCAAGGTCAAGGTTAAGCTAGCCACCTCAAGCACTTTGGTGGCCGCCACAGCCCTTTGGGTGGCCAAAGTACCTAAGGTGGCCAGCCCGATCTTGACCTCAGGCACTTTAGTGGCCTGAGGGGCCAAGATTACCCCCCAGGCGGCCAAAGTGCCCGAGGTGGCTAGCTTGAGCTCGATTGCAGGCACTTTAGCCATCCGAGGGGCCGAGGTTATTCAAATAACCTCCGCCCTCAAACGGCCAAAGTGCCCAAGGTGGCCAGCCTGAGCTCGACCTCGGGCACTTTAGGGGCTCAAGGGGCTGAGTTTATTTAAATAACCTTGACTTTCCGAGCGGCCAAAGTGCCCAAGGTTGCTAACCCAAGTTCGACCTCAGGCAATTTGGTGGCCTAAGGGGCCGAGGTCCATAGTTTCGCTCAATGGTTTATAGCTACAAAGTATTCACATAAATGGCATCCATCATCTAGTAGAGTTTGAACAAGAGAGACAGTTCCACAAGATTGGTCAGATACCTGTTTTTGTTGTGGCTTCCTTCGAGAATTCTTGTGTGGACGCGCTTGCCCTCCGTGAGGTCGCAATTGATCCCACATGATCCCACGGCTTGTGAGAGGTAATGGAGCGTTTCTTCATCGCACCATTTCACAGGCATAACATTATTCCGTGAAGCCAAAAAAGAGTGGCAACTTTTTAAGTTGACATATCCTGAAAGCCAATCGGACGGGACCAACCCATTACTTGCTGGCTTATGCAAAGGTTGGCAAGGTCAGTGACGCGAGGCACATTTTTCATTCGATAACAGGCGTATGCCCAGAATGGTCTAATAGAAGATTCATTTCGTCCAGCTCATACATCAAGCCTGACGAGCTCACTGTATTTGCGGTTCTCACTGCTTGCAGCTATGGTGGAAAGGTGGCAGAGGCTCGCGAGCACTTTGTGGCGATGGTGGAGGACCATGGCTTGAGTCCAAGCTATGAGCTCTATGGTTTCATGGCAGATATCATTGCAACATCTGGAGAGCTGAGCTACACCGAGGAACTGATTGCGAGCCTGTCAAACCCGGCAGATAGTGTTGCGTGGACAAGCTTGCCTGGAGCTCCAGAGTGATATCCAACGAGGCCAACGAGTTGGATAGACAAGATTCCTCACCTTACTCCCTGCTTGCAAATATTGGAGGAAATCTGATGGCCTGAAGAAAAATCTAGATTGCAAGCGTACATGGATTTGGCCAAAAGTACAGCAAAGTTCAAAACCAACTTTGGTTTGGAACATTTATTTTACAAATCCTGGTTCAGGTGGAAAAATCTTATGTCCTTATAAAATTTTGTCATTTAATATTCTAGATTATTACTCCATTCTTTAATTTTACTTTATATTTAAGTATATAATATTCATAAAGTTTCAACAATTTTGAATTATTGTACTAAAAATTAAAATCCAAGCTATTAAGGAATATATATACATACATACATACATACATACATACATACATACACACACACACACACACAGAGATATATATATATATATATATATATATATATTTATTATTATTATAATATAATATATATAAACGATAGGGGTGAACTTAATAATAGAGAGTATGCCAATCCTGTGTTATATAAATTTTTTATTATCAATTTCATTTTTTTTCTAAATTGTGAAGTAGTGCCACGCTTAAGAATGGGTGAAGATAGTAGGATTTCTTACTTCAGATATAAAATAATAAATTCACTACTACATTTTACTAATTATGAATTTTATTCCTTTTTTTAATTTAGTTTTATTATCTAATTTCTTTTTACAAGTACATGAAATTGATTATGGTGAAATAAATGCATTAGATGACGACTCTGTTCGTGTGATTTTAAATGGTATTGGAGGAATGATTGCTTTCATAACAAATGATGTTTATGCAAGAGGTCAAAGACAAGATAGTTCAGCAGTACTTGAACATGAAGATGGAACTAGTACAACTATTTCTATTAGTCTTTGGATTTATAGTGAAGTTAAACGATCATTTGCAAAATGTGCAATAAATGCAGGTGGTGGTACTGATCATGGATCTGTTATAAGAGGTGCATTAGGTGCACTTCTGGAAGAATCTTATAGTGAAATAGTAAATGTTGCTGCTTCTTATGTTACTGTTGTTATTGAGCTTTATGCTTTTCAATATATGATAAGAAACTATATTCCTCGTAGACCTGAATTACTAGCTTCAGTTAATAGCATGATTAAATGTAATATTTTTGTTAGTACACTAATAAGTGGCTATATTAATATGCCACATCAGTATTTGTCAACAATTTTTTTTTAATTTCCCCAAATGGAAAAGCTCATTTATATCTTGATAGTATTTGTAATTTAATATTATATTATAAAAATCTTATATTATGGTCTGCTAAAACTTCAAATAGAGGTACAAATTGTAAGTTAAGGCTCCAAGAAGATGGTAATCTAGTTCTATATGAAGAAAATGAGCAACCTTTATGGGCATCAAATACAAATTGCAAAACTAAAAATTGTTTTGTAAATTCATATTTAATACTTCAAGATGATTGTAGATTAGTTTTATATGCAAGTTATCAAAAATAATTCCATGTTAAACCATGGATATACCAATTGTGGGCTTCCAAAAAAGTTTGCTTGTTTTAATAAAATGTTTCTATCAATGCTCCATTACAGATAAACATATGAAACAATAGAGAGATTCCATGACGACTAGAGATGAAGTCTCAATGCTGATGCGGGATTATCTCAAGAATCAGTTGGAAATATTCGTACTCCATTGTCGATTCCAATGTCTCTTAAAACATTGCTTATAAAATGAAAGGGTAAAAGTGGGAATATTCGTAGACATTTTAGGTTAACATAATGCCCTAAAGTTCGCAAAGCCATGGCAGTCCAGGACGCGAGCGCTGCCGAGGACGACAGCGAGGTTCTCTATCTCGCCAAATGCCTCCAGAAGAGCAGCGTCGTCTCTTATGCTGTGTGCGGCCACATTCGATCGCCGCTGATGCTGGAGGTGGTCTTCGGCAAGGTAGGAGCTCCATCTATCTTGGTTTTGAGCTGGAATTTGCGCACAGGAGACCGCCCTGGAGCTTGTCGTGCTCGTCGAAGATGGGAGCGTGCAGCCGGTGTGTGAGCAGAGTGTGTTTGGAATCATCAAGGACATGAAATTGCTCCCTTGGAATGAACATCGTCGAGCTCCTTACTCGCAGGTAAGATAAAATTCTATGCTTTAGAACGATGTACTGTGCTATAGTCTACTGTTAACTAATGTTCCATCTCTCTATCTATCATAGACCTACGGCAAGGACTTACTCGTGCTGCTTTCAGATTCCGGAAAACTCTCCTTCCTGACTTTCAGTGTCGATCTGCACAGGTACCATGGAAATAGAAAAATCAAGGTTTTTTTCGCTCTTCTTACCTGTTTTCTCTTTCTCTTTTACAGGTTTGTGGCTGTCAGTCAAATTCATCTCTCTCATCCCGGGACTTCTCTTCGCGAGCTCGGATGGCTACTTGCTGTCGACTCCAGGTGCGATAAAGTCGAACGTTTTATTTCATAGAAAACCTTTTGTGATACAGATCTCGCGCTGTAGCGGTTTCTGCTATCGAAGATTTGGTAGCAATATTTCCTACCTCTGTTGCAGCTGGGGAGAATGTCGTCGAGAAGGCTAGTGTGTTTTTCTTTCTGGTACTAGTTGCCTGACACCCTTCCTTCAGGCCATAACATATCCAGCACCGGGTAACGTAGCAAATGACGCAGAGGCAACGTATGGATGGGGAACGATATGGAGCATGGCCTTTGTTGCTAGCCCAGAGGAATCCCACCAGCTTTTGCTCGCGGTAATTTTGCATAGGTACACAGAGCCTAGATAATTTTCTGCTCACCAGGATTGAGAGTAACTCGGGAGTGTTCCTTACAGGAAGGGTGCTCTGTCGAACGAACTGCAAGTTCTACTTTGCGACACGAATGAGCGTTCGATACACTTGGGAGCACGGTATCATCCTTCTGGAGAGCCGGCCATCGATTTTCTAACTTATGGTGTCGTGGAGATGCCCGCGTTCCCGGGGTTCGTGCTACTGCTTCGGCTCGGTGAGATTGTACTTGTCGACGCAAGGGCCATCGGCACGACGACTTATCCGGCAAACTTAGTGGCATTCAGCTTGCTAGACTTCAGAGATACAGTGGGGGATCCCGAAGAGCGTCCGAGACCTTATTACCGGGTTCCAGATGACGAGTATGGAACCAGAGCCAAGCTCTTTATCAGTGCATGGTGCTGGGAACCAGATAGCAAGGGCCAAGCTAGACTGGCTTTCAGTACAGGGAAAGGAGGTATCGACGTTGTCACGCTACGTCCGGATGCTGCCTCTGGAAGGCCAACTCCTGTTAGAGACTGCCAGTACAAGTGTTCACAGTGCAGGCTTCTTCTCTGGACGAGCGACGGGTTTATGACTGCAATGATAGAGATGGGAGACGGGCATGTTTTAAAGGTGGAAGACGGGCAGCTGAGTTTCCAGAGCTTCGTTCAGAACATCGCTCCTATACTGGACTTCTCGCTGGTGGATTACTACGGGGAGAAGCAAGACCAGATGTTTGCATGCTGCGGTGGTGACGAGGAAGGCTCGGTGAGAATCATACGGAATGGCAACAGCGTGGAAAAGCTTATTTGTACGCCTCCTGTCTACCAAGGCGTGTCAGGGATATGGACGATGAGGTACCGTTTCAAGGATCCATACCATGCCTTCTTCCTGATTTCCTTCGTGGAGGAGACTCGAGTTCTATCGGTGGGATTGAACTTTGTGGACATCACGGATGCTGTTGGCTTCGAATCTCAAGTCAATACTCTGGCCTGCGGTTTAGTCGAAGATGGATGGGTGGCACAGGTCTGGCGGTACGAGGTCAAGCTTTGTTCTCCCACGAAGGCTGCTCATCCGGCAGGTGTTTCAGGCAGCAATCCATTGTCCACGACATGGAGGAAACCGGGATACCCGATCAGTGTGGGGGCTGTCTGTCGCAGCAGAGTTATCCTGGCTTTGGCACGACCAGGTCTGCTTCTGATGCTTGGAGCCACCCAGACTTCGGACGGGAGCTTCGAACTGGTAGAGCTTCAGCTTTGTATGATGGAGGCGGAGATATCATGTATCTCTATTCCGCAAGGAGATATATCCATCCCCGTACCTCCAACTATCGCCGGGCTACACGCAGGGAATACAGTGCCAGCCGGGTTGGATCTCGGGAATGTTTGCGTCGTCGGCACACACAAGCCTTCGGTCGAGCTCCTGTCGATTGTTCCTGGCGACAAGTTTGCTCCCTTTGCCGTTGGTCAAGTGTCATTGATCACCTCGGTTGGCACTGCAGTTAGCGGGTGCATACCACAGGACGTCCGGCTGGCCTTGTTTGATCGCCTCTACATTCTGGCTGGACTGAGAAACGGGATGCTGCTTCGGTATGAATGGCCGGAGGATACGCCCTCACTAGTTTTGAGTAAACCAGCTCAACTCCATCTCGTAGCAGCTCGTCGGCTGGGAGTATCGCCAGTGTGCCTGGTCCCGTTGGAGGCGTGCGCACTGCGGGCCGATATCATTGCTCTAAGTGATCGCCCCTGGTTGCTTCAGATGGCCAAGAGGATTTCATACACGTCGATCTCTTTTCAACCTTCAACGCATGCAACGCCCGTTTGCTCGAAAGATTGTCCCAAAGGCATCATTTTTCTTGCTGACTGCAGCCTCCATCTGGTAAACTAGTACACAGATATTTGTTGTCTCACCTAAAGCATCTATCTTCTTTGCCTGCCAGGTTGAAATGGAGCAGTCAAGAACACTCAACGTGCAAAAGCTTCACCTGGGATGCACTGGGAGGCGGGTCCTGTACCACCCCGAGTCAGGAGTCCTTATTGTTTTGCGACTTCTCTCCGAGCACCGGTCGGACGTGTGTTGCATTGAGCCACTCAGTGGCGCAGTGCTGTGCGTTCATCCATTTGGAGTGGAACAAATAGTCAAGTGTATGGAGCTCATGAAGTTGGGTGACGAGCAGCTTCTTCTCGTGGGAACTGCGTCCGACTCTCGAAGAGCAGTTATGACAACGGGAGAAGCTGAAAGGCAAGCATTTTACTTTTTGTTTTCGTAGCTTCTGTGTGTTTAAAACTGGCTATTTTCCCAGCTCTTCAAGGGGTGTTTTGGTGGTGCTTTACCTGGACGCACCACCACCGCCCAGTCCTCGTAGCCCGATGTCAAGTCCCACCAGCGAGTCTAGTGGAAGAGCATCTATCGTCTTCCAGCCTGACGACTACTGTTTCGTACCCAGGGCTAATGTTGGCTTACCCGGGCCTGTCAATGCTGTGGCTTCGTATCTAGGACAATATGTATTAGCTTGTGCTGGGAATCACGTAAGTATTTGCTCTTCTTTTTTGTTTTCTCTCTCTCTCTGAGGTGCTAAGGATAAAGCGATCAGCTGTTTTGTCTAGGAATTGCTTCCATGGACGAAAGTCCCAGGCGATGGAAGAAGCTGGCATCAATAAAAACGCGCTTTGTGATTACCAGTATTTCTGTTCGTTTTACAACAATTGCTGTTGGAGACTGTCGCGATGGTGTTTTGTTGTTTACATATAGAGAGGTATAGCAAACAGATTTCTCATTCTTGACTCATATATCTCATGTCTGCAGGACTCCAAGAAGCTGGAACCGATCCGATGCGATCCAATGAGGCGTCTGGTTTCTGACTGTACTTTGGTAGATGTTGACACTGCTGTGGTCGTGGACCGCCAGGGAAACTTCTGCGCCTTGTCTGCGAATGAAGAGACAGAAGGCAAGTGTGATTCAAGTTGTATCCATGTTTTGACTTCTCTAATCGCTCGGAATGTGCAGACAGCGGCAGTCCAGAGAAGAATCTGGAAGCTCACTGCTGGTTCCATATTGGTGAAGTCTGTACGACTGTACGCAAGGTTAGAACCTCCGCTTTCTCTGCAAGGATACTTCACGGGAATGTTCTGTTGTTTTTGGCAGGGATCATTTGCGTTCAAAGCCGTAGAAGACAGCTGCAGCGTTGATCGGTTAATACCTAACATGGGAAAGTCATGTGTTATTGCAACCACCTTGCTCGGAAGTGTCTTTATCTTCGTTCGCATGACAGGGTACCGAAGTTTTCCAAGTACTAATACAGATAACAACTATGAATTCTCTTTTGATACAGGGAGGAGTATAGCCTTCTGCAAGCATTGCAGAGGAGACTTTCAGTTTTACCCGCCACAGCTCCCGTCCTTGGAAATGATCATGCCCGTTTTCGAGGCCAGGGTCGTCCGGTAGGTGTTTTGTTGAAGATGTTATGCCGTGAACGAGGACTGATATGTGTTCGTGGAAGCAGGCTGGCGTCAAGGAAGTTTTAGATGGAGACTTACTGGAACAGTTTCTGGAGCTGACAAGCGCAGAGCAAGTGGCAGTGCTGAAAGAGCCCGGACCGATGGTGCTTCGGAAGTCCGGAGGAGCTTACTCGCCGGAACTACAGGTGGAGCGAGTCCTACGGCTGCTTGAAAAGATACACCACACGGTCACGTAGAAAAGAGGTAGGGAGTTTGTAAATACTGGTACAGGCAAACGGGCAGGCCAAGCTACGGAGCTAGAGAGTTATGGTCGATGGTTTGTCCCTTCCAGGCCCATGAGGTATGGCATGCAAGGAGTTTGCTTCTTGCTATCAAACAAAGATGCATACTCCGAGATCATGTTTGTTTGAGCGACTAAGTTGTAAGTGGCGACGATGAGATCTTCGATATGCTTTCTCACTCGTTAAACTGGACGCCAAGTTCTTCATGTCTGATGCTCGATACACGACACTAGCTAACTAAACTACAGCAACAGCAGTTAATTCCCGGCATCTATGGCTTTGATCGAGCCGGAGAGCCTATGCCTCGCCACCCTCCTCTTCAAACTCTCCCTCCTCGTCGGCGGACGCGTCTTGGTACTGCTGGTATTCGGACACGAGGTCGTTCATGTTGCTCTCGGCCTCGGTGAACTCCATCTCGTCCATCCCCTCGCCCGTGTACCAGTGCAGGAATGCCTTCCTTCGAAACATGGCCGTGAACTGCTCGCTCACCCGCTTGAACATCTCCTGGATGGCGGTGGAGTTGCCGATGAAGGTGGCCGACATCTTCAGTCCCTTGGGCGGGATGTCGCACACGCTCGACTTGACGTTGTTGGGGATCCACTCCACGAAGTAGGACGAGTTCTTGTTCTGGACGTTGAGCATCTGCTCGTCAACCTCCTTGGTGCTCATGCGGCCGCGGAACATGGCCGAGGCGGTGAGGTAGCGGCCGTGGCGGGGATCGGCGGCGCACATCATGTTCTTGGCGTCCCACATCTGCTGGGTGAGCTCCGGCACCGTCAGCGCGCGGTACTGCTGCGACCCCCGGGAGGTCAACGGCGCGAATCCCACCATGAAGAAGTGGAGGCGCGGGAAGGGGATGAGGTTGACCGCCAGCTTGCGGAGGTCGGAGTTGAGTTGACCGGGGAAGCGCAAGCAGCAGGTCACGCCGCTCATGGTCGCCGATATCAGGTGGTTCAAGTCGCCGACTGCAAGAAAACAACAGTCAACGGTTGGAAATGTCAACGGTCGACTTACATGTGGGCGTGGTCAGCTTGAGCGTACGGAAGCAGATGTCGTACAGCGCCTCGTTGTCCAGCGCCATGCACTCGTCCGCGTTCTCCACCAGCTGGTGTACGGACAGCGTCGCGTTGTACGGCTCCACCACCGTGTCCGACACCTTGGGCGACGGCATGATGGAGAATGTGAGCATCATGCGGTCGGGATATTCCTCGCGGATCTTGGAGATGAGCAGCGTCCCCATCCCCGACCCCGTCCCGCCTCCCATGGAGTGGGAGATCTGGAAGCCTGAAACGCAAGCACAGAGTTAAGCAAAGAATCCGCAAGTTTGACCATGGGTTTTGTGCTTTGCCTTGGAGACAATCGCATCCCTCGGCCTCCTTCCTCACAACATCCAGCACCGAGTCAATCAATTCGGCGCCCTCCGTGTAGTGTCCCTTGGCCCAGTTGTTACCAGCTCCGGTTTGTCCGAAGACGAAGTTGTCCGGCCGGAAGATTTGTCCATACGGCCCCGACCTCACGCTGTCCATGGTACCCGGCTCCAAATCCATGAGCACCGCTCTCGGCACATAGCGTCCGCCGCTGGCCTCGTTGAAGTAGACGTTGATCCTCTCCAGTTGGAGGTCGGAGTCGCCGTGGTAAGTTCCGGTGGGATCAATACCGTGCTCATCGCACACAACCTCCCAGAACTTTGCTCCAATCTGGTTCCCGCATTGGCCGCCTTGGATGTGGAGAATCTCTCTCATATTTGCAGGGATGTGTGCTGGGAGGAGGACTTGGGGTGTTGTGGGGGACGCCTGCTGAATGGGAGAGGTTTTCAAGTGAACTTGCCGCGTGCCCTAACTACCGTTCAGCCGGCACTACGACTATGTTTGACCAAGTGTTGGCTCAAAGTCAACATACTTATGGCTTTTCATGTTCTTTCTCATGGTTACGTTGTTTTCAGACACATCAAGTGCTATAAACCACAAACAAGTCGTAGGGGTTGACAAAGTTGACAGTGACACCAGATTTTGGCAGCTGGGAACATCGATCGACACTTTCAGTATTCACGTGTCAGATCGTGGCTATCGTTTTTCTAGTAGAAAACGAGGGATTCATAACAGTCAGTTCTCTTTAATTATCTTGGAGCATGGCTTCCAAGTCACTCAAGGATTGTGATCGGTATAGACGTGATCTCTCTCTTTGACGTGTTTTGAGACATCCAACGGTGGGCCGCTAGCCAAGGAACAGAAGATCTAAACTATGTTTGAAACTATTGTTTGTTTGAGACAACCATTGAAGACTTTTGTTCTCGTCCAGCGAGAGTCCAACGCGCTCACGAAATGTGATATACATTTTATCGTGGGTTTAATCGTGGGTTTTAATCATCCCAGCAGCTGGTTTCACGCTCTGGTCCGGGTTCACCGATTTCTCGATCTCAAGGGCGTATAAAAGGAGCTCCGGAATTAGATCGCCCTCGAGTTATCAGTTAGATGGGTGATTATAAGGTTTGGAGAGTTTTGAGCCTGTTCTTGCTTGTTGTCATCGCTGCCCGAGGGGATCTCTCGTATGACTTCTACAAAACGAGATGTCCACAGGCAGAGAAGATTGTCATGGATGTCATGGTGAATGCCACATTGTCTGACAGGCGAATTGGTGCGTCCATCTTGCGTATGCATTTCCACGACTGCTTTGTCGAAGTAAGTTTTGATAAACCTTTGGCTCATAAAAACTTAGCATTTGTCAACTCTTTGATTGATCAGGGCTGTGATGGATCCATCCTCATCGATTCCACCCCCACAAACCGGGCCGAGAAGGATTTCCCAGCAAACTTCCCCAGCATTCGCGGCTTTGATGTGATTGACGCTGCCAAGGCAGCCGTGGAGAAAGTCTGTCCGGGGATCGTGTCTTGTGCTGACATTCTAGCCTTCGCTGCGCGAGATGGTGTTCATCTGGTATCTTATCTATCATTCCTAATCATCTTATCGCGAAACTAATCAATCTCTTCTGGTATTCAGTCGCACGGACCATTCTGGGACATCCGGTCGGGACGTCGAGACGGCCGAGTTTCCATGTTTAATCGCGTCCCTCTCTTCCTTCCACCACCCACATCCAACATCACGCAGCTCGTCACCAGCTTCGCAGCCAAGAACTTAAGCAAGAGTGATCTTGTCTTCCTCTCAGGTACAGTCTCTGCAAGAATCTCTATAGATGTGCAAATCTTACGATGGGGTCATTGAATTATCTAGGTGGTCACACGATTGGATTCTCTCTTTGCTCCTCCTTCAACAGCCGGCTCTACAATTTCACCGGGAGAGGCGACCAGGACCCAGCGCTCGATGCGTCTCTCGCCCAGACTCTCAAAGGGCAGTGCCCTCGTCCTCCAACCAGGGTCGATCCAATCGTCCCAATGGAGAAGACCCCATTCAAAGTAGACACGAAATACTTCAAGGGAGTGCTCAAGAGGCGCGGCCTCTTCACCTCCGACTCCGCCCTTCTCAATGATCCATTCACGAAGTCTCTGGTGATCAAGAGCGCCGCGGACGAGTCATTCTTCCTTGGGAATTTCATCCAGTCCATGATCAAGATGAGCGAATTGGAGGTCAAGACTGGATCGAAAGGCGAGATCCGGAAGAAGTGTCACGTCATCAACTGAGACATTGTCTATGATTTGTTTGCGCGAAAGAATTTAAAATCAAATTTCCCCCTCTACCGGAGATTAGGGTTTAGGGTTTTGGGCGTCCATGGCGACGATGGCGAGAGGCGATGGGCGGAGCGCGGATCAGATCAGGCCGCTGGCGTGCACGACAGGCTTGCTCCACCGGGCGCACGGATCGGCGCGCTGGTCGCAAGGTGAGATTTCGCGTTTTCTGGAATTTCCTCCGCATGCTCGCCGCTGGCAGAGAAGAGCATTGTCCTCGCGGCAGTGTATGGGCCAAAGGCCGTGTCTGGGAAGCAGGAAAACGCCGAGAGGGCGACGGTGGAAGTGATCTGGAAAGCCAAAGCGGGTCTTTCTGGTGAGCCCTCCTTACATTTATTCTTTCTCGAATTTGTTTTATATATATATGTATAATTTTTTTTTCTGCTAGGGAGTTCTGAAAAAGAGGCTGAGGTGATCTTGCGAAGAACAATCGAGTACATTATCATGGCGGCACAACATCCAAATACGGGCATTTCAGTGATCGTCCAGGCAGGCAAAACCGCGTCTTTCATGCTCCCGTGCCAACTCTTTCTCTTTGTTTTTTCCTTTTCGTGTGCAGGTTGTGAGTGACGATGGGGCTGTATCCTGGGTCGATTTTATTCATATCCTGTATGGTTGGTTCATTCTTGACTCCCTTTGCGTACAGCTACTTGCTTGTGCAGTGAATGCAGCTTGTGCAGCGCTCGTGGACGCAGGCATCCCTTTGAATGGTTTGCTTGGTACGTAAAGCTCAGAGGCCTGAAAAACTTCTCACCTTTTCGTCTTTGCAGCGGCTGTAACTTGTGGTGTTACTAGCGGAGGGGAGATTCTACTGGATCCGACAAGGATGGAGGAACAGGTTTTGATTTGATTAGCCTCCCGGTTTTATTCTGAAGGAGCCTTCTCTTTTGTGTTACCAGAGAATCCAGGCCCATGTGTGCTTGGTTTTTAAGAGCCCGGTCGCATCTGTGGTGCCTGGCATGTCTCAACACTCTGGAGAAGATGCCATTGTCACATCTATCACACGCGGCTCCATGTCCGGTACTAGCGAGAATTTCATCGGTTGTTTCTTTCCTTGTCAAGCTCAGCTGTTCGCATATGTCTCTCTGCGTGTGTAGTGGATTCTTACCTTGATTGCTTGGCGCGGGCAAAGGCCGCATGCAAGATGGTTTCTGAGTTTTCAAGGAGCAGCATCGAGAAAAAGCAGGTTTAAAGCCAAGCTACTTCGTTGTTGCATTGGTACTAATGTGATCTCTTTTATCAGATCGCGATGGGCATTAATTCCAAGGCGTCTGATAGCTAAATTTCTTGTTCTTGTTGTTAAGTGTTAGATTATACGCAAACGTCAGGATGGCCGAGCGGTCTAAGGCGCCAGACTCAAGTTCTGGTCTCCGTGAGGGGGCGTGGGTTCAAATCCCACTTCTGACAGTCACGAATGACGACGCGGACAAACAACATGTGTAGTTGCGTATCTCGTCGGCGATATCAGTGATAAGTGAGTGTTTTGTAGCAGAGGAAGTTGTGGCTAACTTGTCTTTTGTCTTGCGTTTTAGGACGCAGCAAATGGCTCCCAACATCACGCTTTGATACGGTCGCGGATTTCGTAGCTGGGCCTTTGCAGCCTTTGGGATCATCCATATGCCTATTGCTGGATCGTTTGGTCGAAGATAACGAAGCATCTTAGGCAGTACTCGTATCTCATTGGATCAATACGCGCGACCTTTGACACCTCGGCTGACAGGTACGTTTTGCTCTTACATTATTCAGCTGGTGATGTCACCAGAAAAATCTTTTACGAGCACTTTTGATGCAGTGCTCGTCCTTTTTTTCTTGTTTTTTTTTTCCCTTTGTGCAGAGCATGCATTGGGCATCATCCACAGCTTGCAACGAAAGGACGATCGCTCAAAACCTGGGTGTTTGCGTGGGGCGGAAGAAAACGCTTGCGTGAATTGTGGCACTGTTGCGTAGATATGGATATTGGAAGAGAATCGTGCGGAAACTCTCCTGAGCAATGAAAGGTGAGCCTATCCTCAAATTTTGGATCGCTCTCGATCTGACGCTGCAGAGCTTTTCTATTGGCAGGTAGATCTTGGACACAAAGCCAGTTTTCCTGTTGCGGTCGCTCGCCACAGCGCTCATATCATAAGAAAATCGTAAAGTTGAAAATGGTGGTGGCATGGTCGGTTGAGTGCATTATTATGGGACCGCAAGAGCAAAAGAAGAAGAAGAAAGAAAAGAGAGGAACTTTCTCTGGCACTATGCGGCATCCATGAAATCAAAGGGTTATTGGAAAGCTCGCTATGCATGATTGATGCTGATGCTACCGAGCTTTTCCTATGATAGATGGATAGCTTATAGCATGCAAAAAACAGAGAGGAGAGAACCAAAAGAAGAACAAAAACACACGCACACACACAGGGGGCATGTCTAGCGCGCGCGAGGTGCGTGTGTTTCATGGCATATTTCTTGCGGATGCGTTACAAGGCAGCAGCATCACGGCTTTGCGGGCTTCTTCGATTCGAGAGTTTGACACCCAAGTCAATGCTGTGGCGTTAAAGATTGTGTGTGTCGATCCCTCAATCCTGGCTGCGCTCGATATCTCCTTGTTAGAAGAAGAGATTTTGCCGCAAAGTGGGAATTTTTAGCTCTAGCGAACACGGTTGACGCAAGACGTAGGAACTTCCTCCCTCGCGCCAATTCCATAATTTCTGGAAGAAGAAAGGAAACACGCTCTGTACGGGTCGCAGTCAACGTAACCGAGCCACCTTCCGTGTGACTAACCGAAAACGTCGGCCCTGTCAAAATCAAGATGCCGCCCGTCACCCACGCAATGCGTTTGACGGACCCCTCCCAGTCACTGGCGTGTTGGAAAAGAAGGGCCCCACGTTAAAAGGTGGCCAATACTCGGTTTTGGTTTTGGGCCACGAGGAGTACGACAAAATAATTTATACAGCCAAAAGAAGAAAAGAAGAAAAAAAAAAAGAATTAGTAAGTTTTAACACACTTGACTCATAGGCGAGGAGGGGCTATGGCGGCCACAGGAAAGAGTCTTTCTTTCTTTCTTGGCGAGCGAGAGAGGAAAAAATAAAAGAGAGAGAGGGTTTTGTGTGTGCGAGCTTCATCCTCTCTCCTGCATGATTGAGGGCCCCCGACAGATCACACAATTCGCTCTTGATTGATTGATTGATCTTTCGCAAGGTGTCTCTGTCCCTCTCCTGTCTAAGAGAGACCGCTGCCGCCCTCCTGAGAATTTCTCCTCCATTGTCTCCTCATCTCTTCCGGTTTTGTGCAAGAGAGCGAGAGAGCGAGCGAGCGAGCGAGCGAGCAAAGTTGCAATTCCTGGAAAGCGAGAGAGAGAGAGAGAGAGAGAGGAGCATGAGTTAGTCGCCAAAAAGAGAAGATGGTGTGAGTGAAAGATCTCCTTCCCCTCTTACCATACGTTCCCTCACGCATAGAATCGTAGCTTTGACTGGCTAAATCGGTTCATGTTGCGGTGGCGCTCGCTTAACCCCTCTGGATGCACCCGGTTGTCTCCGAAAGCGTCCACTCCCACCCCCTGCTCCTGCTGCTGCATGATTGACGACGACCAGCCTTGCTCCTCTTGCTCAAGCACCTCGCTTTCACACCGCCTCCTCGTCTCTCCAAGTCTGCTCCTCCTTCCCCCGCTTCCCAGCAGATATAAGTCCTTGACTCCTGCTTGCTCTTTTCTCGCTTGCTCCACCACCACAGAGTCCTCTGCTGCTGGAGATGACTTTGTTGACGGATCTCTAGCTGGTACAGTTACTGTTACTACCCCTCTTCTTCTTCCAATCGTTGCTCTTGCTGCTGCTGGTGTTGGAGGGTGGACGCAGCATCATCAGGTGTGGCCTTTCTTCTCGTGCCGGCCCACCCAGCAATCAAGGTTTGCACTTTCCCCCTTCCCGCACCTCCACGGCACCACCTTTACTTTGTGGTTTGATCCTGGATCTTCTCGTTTGCAGCTTGTAATTATTCCTCCTGCCCCCAAGTCAGCCAGCCTACGTGCGTCCGTCACACCAATGAGCTCCCGAGCGAGAATCATGGATGGCGGCCAGGAGCAGCACGAGCCTTCGTTCCCACTCTGGCATAGCCTCCCCGAGGACATCATGGACAAGGTGTTCGCCTTCATGCCAATTGAGAGCCTGGTGGCGGCCGGCCTCGTCTGCAAGTCCTGGAACTCCCGGATCAAGTCGAGCAACTTCCAGAGAGTCTACCGCAGCACACCCGCGAGGGAGGCCCCCTGGCTCCTTGCCTGCTCCTATAACTGCCGGGACAAGTCGTGTGCCTTCAGCCCCACGCTCAACAAGTGGCTCAATGTCTCGCTCGCATTCCTGCCACCTTATATGAGGTTCCCGCTGGCTGCCATCGGAGGCCTCATCTTCATGCGAGCCGGTCTCAGCAACTTGGGGATGCTGGCGGTGTGCAACCCGATCATGCAGACCTGGAAGGAGCTGCCTCAGATGACTTACAAGCGATTCAACTCACTCGTCGGGGTGTTTCAAGTCGACGACAGCAGCGGGTATAGGATCATCGTCGCAGGCGGGACGTCCGAATGCGGGGGTGACTACGAGTGCTCCACGGAGATCTACGATTCCAGAACGGACTCCTGGACCGTCCTTGGAGCCATTCCCCGCTACTACACCGTCAAGATTACTGTGTGGACCTCCAAAACCGTCTTCTGCCAGGGCACACTCTACTGTCTGACGTCTGCCCGCCCTTACAACCTCATGTCGTATAACCTGGGTACCAGACTATGGTCCGAGATGAAGGTGCCGCGGCCCGCGTGCCTGTACTCGTCTTTCCTGCTCAAGCGGAAGGAAAAGCTGCTGTTAGTCGGCGGAGTGGGAACTGACCGAGTTTGCGAGAGGATTCACCTGTGGGAGCTTCAAGTTGAAAGCCAGCAGTGGCTTGACAAGGACCAGATGCCGCAGCATTACTTCCAGATGTTTTACGAGAGCAAGGGAGACTTCGATCTTAAGTGCGCTGGGTCCGGCGATTTAATATACTTCTTCAAGAGCTCGCACTCGGGGATGTTGGTCTGCGACCTTTCCACCACCCCGGCTTCATGGCAATGGCTGCCTTCGTGTCCTTTCAGCAATCACGACATCAAGTTCGCCTTGAGAGGTTTGTTTCTCAATCCTCGCCTCGACTACACCTTCTGAGATTGCAGAATACACACGAGTCGGGCATAAGAAAAATGAAAAAAAAAAAAAAACTTAAAGAAGTAGAAAAGCGAAGAAAAATACTTGCAGATGTACGACGGCCGTTGTCCCCTCCTCCTCCATTTTTTCTTTTTCCTTCATTTTCTAGCACCGTAGGAGCAACGTGTTCTTTTAGCTGGACTCTGATTACAGGGAACCGTCAACGAAAACACCAAAAGTACGACAGAGACAATACCTGCGTTCTCTCTCGACGCAACGACACCTGCATAAAAGCCAAGGACCAGCGCTGTTAAAAGGACAAAGCAAACCAAAACAATAAGACGCTTACTTGTCAATCTTTCCGGCTTCCGCGTCCACCATACATGAACGAGGACGCTACTGTGGATGGCGAGCGCGACAATATTCCCTCACCCAAGCGTCGTACGAAAGCTCTGAGAGAAATGATCACGGGCGATTGATGCTTTAGGTAGAGAGGTGTCCCAGTATCATGCAATCATCATCGCATCAAGCAACAGTTTTTCCTCTTCTTTGAAAGAATTTCTCTCTGATACCAGTGGAAATTTAGAATCCAAGTCACGAGCTAGCACCAGCCTTGCCAGTCTGCAAGGAACAAAAGAGAATTAAACAAAGGATCCAGAGCCAAGCGATCCAGAGATTCACAGGTAAAAAACAAAAGAAAGACTATAGATAGCAAGGCATGAGTGAATGCAGCGCAAAGAGATCGCAAATTCACTCTCATACCTGATCGAGCTTGTCCAAGAACCCTGGGAAATCCGCCCAATCTCTTCCTGCATTCCACACCGCGAGCGAGCTGAGATTCCTACATTTCTAGCAGCCATGGCGATCGAGGCGCGCGATCGCAGCAATGGCGCCCAGGGAAGAAGAAGAGGGAACGCCCAACAATGCCCTAAAACCCTAAGAGAATGATTCCATGGCGGAGAATATGCCCTTTCTTGCTTGCGAGAGTGGAGCATCACCGACCCGTTACGAGCGGAGGAGGAAGAAGAGGAAATCCACATCTTCCAATCCCACGCCCTTGTCGCCAAGCCTCTGAGATGCGCCGATTCGCCGCCTCGATCCATCGCGCGGGCGATCCGGTGTGCGGCATGTGAATGAAGGGCGGATTCCAGCGATTGTGGCAGTGGATGCGACGAGAATCCGGGCGAAGGACTCCGTCTTCCTCGTCCGGTATGCAAATCCTTTGCCTTGGCTTCCAAGCTTTCTTCCAGATGCGTTAAAGGAGCTCGCGTTCTTTCCTTGCAGCTCTTGGGCGGTTTGATTTCTAGCTCGATTGATTGCAGCATGGATCAAAGAACGCAGCCGGATGAAAGTAGCGAGTATGTGATATTTCGATCCAGGGAGTGTGGCCTGGGTGAGCTCGTGGCGTCTTTTGTGACGTGGAGTGGGCATGCACCAGGGATGGAGTGCTCGCCATCGCTCCAGGGGATGGTGGACCAGAGCTGGCAAGCGAGGTTCGCCATGCTCATCCTCAAGCTCCTCCATCTCGTCTCCAAAGTGCTCGCGGCCATTGGCGAATTCCTCGAGATCTTCCTCAACACTGTCTATGCCAATGGCGGACTTTCCAACCTCGTCCAAAAGCTTCTCACTGGAAGAGGTACGTAGAAGAACTTGTTCTTTCTTTCTTCTTCTTTGTCTCATTTTTCTTTTTTTTTCTTTGTAGGAATCATCATCCCCGACGAGGATTCCGACTCCTACTGGAGTGTGATTGGGTTTTTAGATCCACGCACGGACTTGCTGGTCCATCAACTTGAAGATCAAGTAGCCAGCCACTTTGTGTCAGATCCTCCGGGGTCGAAACTCATGGCAGATGTTTGCATGATGGCGTCCAAGCTTGCATACGAAAACTCCAAAATCATCCGGAAGATCATCACGAACGAGTGGAAAGTAAGTATCAGCATCGACGTTTTGTTGCTTGACTTTTGTGCTGTGAATGTAGATGCATGTCGTGGATATATACGAGTGCATCAACAGTAAGTATCGCAAGAACTTCTCTTCTTCCTGATGCTGAGTTATAGTTCTATGTTTTTTTTTTGTCACAGAGAACGAACCTACGAATCCAACTCAAGTTCTCATTTTCATGGACCGAGCAGTCGATGCACAAGCTGTCTTCGTTGTCTTCCGCGGAACAATGCCGTTCAACGCCTCCGACTGGAGCACAGACTTTGATTTCTCGTGGTACCTTCTCCCCGGCATTGGCCGTGTTCACGTCGGCTTTCTGGAAGCTCTCAGCCTGGTGGATCGCCACGACATGGATTCATTCACTCGCATGAAGGACAACGTCGCCAAAACCAGAGCCTCCGGCAACGCCACCAGCAGCAGCAAGCACACTCCAGCTTCGGGGCTCATCGAAGCTGTTACACTGGGGGATCAGGATCAGGATCACGGTCAAGACAAGGGGAAGCCTCTCTTCGCCTACGACACCGCCTGCGACGAGCTCAAGGTCCTCCTCAGAGCTCACAGGAATGCCAAAGTCTACGTAACTGGACATAGCTTGGGAGGTGCTCTGGCGACCGTCTTTACCACCATACTCTTCCACAACAAGGAAAACACCATCACAGGCAAGCTGGGTGCTCTCTACACGTTTGGACAGCCTCGAGTAGGGGACAAGGAATTCGCAGCTACCATGACAAGCAAGCTCAACGGAGCAGACAATCGCTTCTTCCGCGTTGTCTACAGCGCTGATCTTATCCCACGCGTTCCTTTCGACGACTTTCTCTTCCAGTTCAAGCACATCGAGCCGTGCTTCTTCTACACCAGCTTCTACACCAAAATGGTACGTCTACATATCTTCTGTTCTTCCTTTTCTCTTGAGACGAACTTTGGTGATACTGTAGATTGTGAAGGAGGAGCCCAACAAAAACTACTTCAATCCATTCTACTACATCTTCAACCATGCCGTGGCAGTGTGGGAGCTTCTCCAGAGCTTTGTTCTCCACTTCCGGTATGGTGACAACTATCGGGAGTCCAGCTCGTCGACGGTGCTGCGGCTCGTTGGTCTGTTCTTCCCCGGCGTTTCTGCTCACAGTCCAGTGAACTACGTCAATTCCGTGAGGCTCGGACCAGCAATGCTCGACACGAAATAGCTTGGCAGGAATGCCAAAAGGTGGTGATAGTCTATTGTTTTCCTTTCTTTTCTGAATCCCGGGTGGTGTTTCGGCAGGTGTTCGAATAAAATGGAAATGGATCCACAGCGAAGGTTTGTTGGTTTCCTGCTCTTGGGAAGTCTGCTCATAGGTGGCTTGTGTCACTTTCAGGCATAAGCAAAGCATTTGTTTGAGACATCGACAGTGGAAAATCCAATGAGGTGAAGACAAGCCCAGCGCTTTTCCAGATTTTTAAGAACCAACGCAGGCAAGCATCATCGTCCAGCTTCTTTCTCGTGTTCCTTCGTTCGTGCTCGTCTCTTACATCGTGAAGTGAATCGCGCATTACATCGATTAGGAAGGTTACCACCACCACAATCAAAGCACAGTAGAGTGTGTGCCTGTGCTAGCTAGCTGTTCTTGGTTATCACAAAAGAAGCTCTTCATTAATGCCGCAGCTTATGGCGCCTGCTCGCCAGCAGACATGAAAGCAAAGCAAATTTCTTTCTCTTTTTCTGGAGGGGAGAAGGAAAAACATTTCGGAATTTTAATAACCAGCTAGATCTAGGATCATGTTCTTCGTTTAGATCTCTCAAGCGTTAAAGTCTTAAAGGGAGAAAAGAAAAAGATCACAGGCATAAAGGCAACAATTTCTCTTATTCTGTCATTGATCACATCACCATCCAAAGCAACAAAGCAAAGCAAAGGTCGCTCTTTTACTTTGCTCTCTTTTACGACCAAAGTTGGTCACTATCACACTCTCCAAATCTCTCTTAACGCGCAAACGACGATCATTTTCTTCGTGGGGGCATTTGTGATCTTTGCGTGTGGGGAGTGTCCAAATCCCCCCAGGCAGCAAGAGAGTAGCAACTCCTCTGTCCGGTCAGGCTGGAAAGCGCGCGTCCAGAAATTGGATTGCTTTCTTTCTTCTGCGCGCCGAGACCCCTCTCTCTCTCTCTCTCTCTCTCTCTCTTCTTCCCTCTTTTCTCTCTTGCAGCTTTTTGTTTCGTGGGCATTCGCTGGCGCGCGCAGGACACATTCTTGCCGGGCTGGGCCGATCGAGCAAGCAATTGGGTCACTGGATTTGTCGTGCTGCTCTACTGGGTGGGATTTGCGAGCCAGAGAGTAAAAAGGATTGGTTTCTCATGCCTAGGGGGAGATGATCATATCTGATCAACCAAAGTCAAGGATAAGTGGACAGCGACTGGCCAGGATGAGAGAAGAGCCGAGAGGAGAAAAGAGAGACCTTTCTCCATCTTTCTTTCCCCTTTGTGTGGTAGTGGCTTAGCTCCTCTAGCTAGCGCTGGATAATTCCAATCCAGATAGATGGTTGGAATTGGATCTGAGGAGCTCTTGATCTTGTCGCTCGCCAAGAGATGAGGAGCGCTACTGGTGAATGGAGATCCGCGAGGTTCCAGAGGTGTCACCTCCAAACGGCGGTGCCAAGTCTTACAGCCATCGTTCGCATTCTTCGTCCTCTCGAGGTAAGAGGACAAACTCTTTTTTTTCCTCGTGGTAGCTCGAAGGTCTTAAACCGAGCGCTCTTTCGTTGGATAGGTTCTATCAAAGGCGCTGTTGGAGCGAGAAAGGTACGTTTTTGCAAACAAAGCGTCCGGTGGCTAGTCTCTAGAAATTGATGCTCGCTGCTTCTCTTTTCCAGATCAAAAACTCGGGTAGCGAGGAACAAAAGGCTCCGGAGCAGCAGCCCCGCATCTCTCCGGAGCGACCACCTCGCCCATTTCTCAAGACCAGCTTCGGCCAGAGGCTAAGTGCTCAATGCGGCTCAGTTTTCTTCGATACTACAAGTTGTAAGAGAGAAACTTTCCCTTCGTTGAGGTCTTTCTTTCTTTGATACAAACGATAACCATTCTCTTTTTTGTTCCATAGACTCCCATCAAGCTCCACTGGCTAGTACGACCAGGAATCACAACGATCATGGGGGCCAACCTTTAGTGGAAGGATCATCGCTAGGAACAGGAGGAGATAGGACCAAGTTGCGATCAACTGGAAACAGTCACAGTGCCAGCGGTCGCGGGAGCTCGGGGCTCTCGGAAGCGGACGTCAGAGGCATGGCTCTGGTTGCAACTGCTACTCCCGAGGTTCCAGTGTTTCGTCCCGGATCAAACTCACAACAACAACAACAAGCGCTGAAGTTATGGGGTGGTGCGATTCCAAAGCAGCGAGCCATAGCCATGGTTGGACAGCTCGCTACTTCGTCGAGGGTTAGCACTGATACTTTCAGCTTCGGTGGTGGTGTACGTGATCGCTCTTCCAAGAGAGGTGAGTTCAAACGTCTTGTAGCAGCGATCTTTGCTAAACTTCGTATTTTTCTTCTCGCTTAGATGGTTCTCCTCTGGGACGAACAGCATCGACTAGTCCAGCGCCTCCAGTGCATGAGCAAGAAAATGAAAAGGAGACAAAGGTGGTGAACAAAGACGCGGGTTTGCAGCTGGTTCCACCAAAGCTGGAATTTTGCGACGAGGAAAAGAACAAGCCCCAAGCTGTAAGATCGTCCTCCGAGCTAGAGCTGGAAGAGGCTCGTAAGGAGATGATGCTGATGGCCAGTGGCTTAGGAGCTGCATTGAGCGGACGACACTCGCAGACGAGCTTGAACTTGGCGCACGTAAAGACCGAAGTCGACGATCAAACGATGATCCTCTCGGGAGCTAAGCCAGGCAGGGAGAGCAGTAGCTTGCCAAGGTGTAGCACAGATATCCTCCAGCCAGCTCCACTCTCCACTGCCGCAGACTCGGAAGCTCCAAATCTCAGCGAGCTTGGAGCTGCTCAAGCAGCCAAGGCTCGGCCATCTTTCAAAAACGACTGTGGCTTCCTCAAGCTTCTTCCTTCCAAGCGGAAGTTCGAAGTGGAGCACGACCAGGCATCTCCACTCCAGAAAACAGCGAGCTATGTGCTGGCCGATAGCGAGAACGCCGGATTGAGGTTGAGTTCCAACAGCAGCTCTGGCATCCCGCCGATCCGGAAGAGTCTTCTCGTC